TTTCTGTGATTTCATTCAGGCAGACATTTTTCTCTATAGAGAAAAATGTCTACCCGAATGAAATCACAGAAAGTTTTCGTTTACGATCTAGCTATAATCTATATCTATAATAATAATAATAATAGCTAGTCCACGCCGAGCACAAGTCATCTACATGCAATGACAGACATTCCGCACTGACCGTGTCTCCCTGTGTCGCTCATGTCGCACTACTAGCGTATAGAAACCAGGAACCCGTTGTCAAACCTATCATAAATATATCATAAACCTAAAAGATCACAACTATTGCACAACGCTTCATGCGCAAACACCATGACAGTTCATCATTGCGGCGTCATGGCTATATATGACGTGTCTGACATCGGGCTCCCGCGTAACGAGGGATGTTCAGACAATTTCCGAGTAGATGCGTTGAGTTTTACTCGGTGGTGTGAACGTGCAGGGTAGAATAATGTGAGTGGCTGACTCACCGCGCCATTGTCGGAGCGCGATAGGCTTTGAACTTGTGCCAACATTTCGGACGTGCTTTTCCGCAGACGACATGTCCCGCATGAAACTAACGGAAGAAGAATTTGGCCCTCAGCGTGTAAGCGTCGTTTTACTGCACAAAGACGACTGAGAATAGGGAACCGGTGATTCCGCCCGAATATTCCCGTATTTAGTGAATCGATTTACTACTTAGAAGCATTTTGTGTACAAGTGTTTGTTATATAAGCATATTGACGCTATGCGCGATTGTATTGCGTTAGGAAATTCATATTTCTATACGTCTTTTCCCTATTTGATGAGGTGAGCTGCCGAGTGTGACGCTTGGTTCATCGCTAACCTTCTAGTCCACTGGCCTCGAGTTATAATCTGGTTGAGTACACTCAAGAGGTATTGGCAGTAGATCTATGTCCCGCAAAGACAGTCCAGGCTTCCGCTACACACACACGGTGGTAGCGGCAGTGGATCTGCGTCGCGTGGAGACAGTTCAGGCTTCTGCTACACACAAGGTGGTAGCGGCAGTGGATCTGCGTCCCGTAGAGACAGTCCAGGCTTCCGCTACACACAAGGTGGTAGCGGTAGTGGATCTGCGTCCCGTAGAGACAGTTCAGGCTTCCGCTACACACACGGTGATAGCGGTAGTGGATCTGCGTCCCGTAGAGACAGTCCAGGCTTCCGCTACACACACGGTGATAGCGGTAGTGGATCTGCGTCCCGTAGAGACAGTCCAGGCTTCCGCTACACACTGATAGCGGCCAGGCGCGGCGTCACGGGGGGGGGAGCAGGCAACCGCCCCAAATGATTTTTTTTTTAAGAAAAAAAAAGAGAAAAAGGAACTGGTTCGACGGGCCTGAGAGCTGTAGTTGTGCGGGGGAGGGGGAGGATTCAGCCCGAATCCCAGCTCTTGCTAATTCTAATTATTAAAACCCTTTTACTGCGGGCTCAGACTGCGGGTCCCGGTTGCGTCTATTTTTTCCGTACCACTAATGCGTAACGCTGTTTTATGGTGCCGTGTGACCCTAAACCTAAGGACGTGGATATTCGTCCGAGCAAAATATACACACAAGTACAAACAGTCAACCTAACCCAACCCTAACCGTAACACTAACTCTAAACCGACTCGGCTATCTTATATACGCGTGTCATAGTACCCAAATTAATCTATGGTGTATAACCTTTCGTAGTGATGCGCAACGATGCTCGGACGAATATCCACGTCGCTAACCCTAACCCTAACCCTAATCCTAACCCTAACCCTAACCCATAGCGTTACGCGTTACGCATTAGTGCCGTTTACTAGCCGGGGTGCAGCACCCCCTGTTTTTTTAGTTGAGTAGTGCGTGTGCACGTACACGTGCGTGCGTGTGCACGTACAAGTGCGTGCGTGTGCACGTACAAGTGCGTACGGCGTGTGCACGTACACGGCTAACTACGAACTCGCTTATAACGAAAACAATGCCAAGCTATGACAAAAGAAGCGTCAAAGGCGCCGTCTGTCTGTGTAGAATGGTAATTATTTATTTATTTTGAGTTGAGTAGTAATTTTATAATGTTTTCTCAATAAAATAATGCATGCTGCGGTATGCTGGAAACACCTGCAGAAATTTCGAGTGGTTTACGGCACCTCGTCAGCTCGTGTAAAGTTACGCAAAAGTTTACGTAAATTTTAGCTTGATGAATCGCACCTAAAACGGCCTCGCTTGCGTACGAGAAATCATACGCAAATTTACTAAATCGATGATAAATCGCAACTAAGCAACGTCGATTGCGTACGCAAATTTACGCAAAATATTTTGCGTACGCAGCTTGATGAATCATGAATCTACCCCATGGACCCCACCCGTCAGTGCAAGCGCACACGGTATCAGAGTCTACAGTTTCCAGGGGCGTGTACAGGGGGGGTCCAAGGGGTCCGGACCCCCCCTCCTGCTCGCGCAGAAAACGCATCTGAGGGGATCTAATTTCAAAATTTTTCTGAGGGAGTGCCCCCCAGACCACCCCTTCGCGTGTTCGCAAGTTTGGGTTACGGTTAGACTCCCCCTGGTACAAATCCTGCACACGCCCCTGGTTTCGCCCCCCCCCCCTTAAGAAAATACCCTGGCGCCGCTCCTGATAGCGGCAGTGGATCTGCGTCCCGTAGAGACAGTCCAGGCTTCCGCTACACACACGTATATAGGTGGTGTACAACAGTAGAGGGCGTCCGTAGGCAGCAGGCCTAAATAAACATCAAACAAAAAATTAATTAAAAATACTTAGATAGTTTTGGCGCATACGCGAAATACAGGGTATTCATGTTAAATCACTACAGATTCAAAGAGCGATCTTCATTCGAAACACTTTTCACAAAAAATCTTTACAATGACCGATCTTCGCAATTTTCAGCATGTAGTCGGTTCCGGTTTCAAACACAAAAATGGCCGACCGGTCACCAATGGCACAATTACACGACAAGACCAATCTTAATTCTAATGCCTTCTAGACGTCCACGAGTCATCAACCTTCCGTGCATAATGCAAATTATTGCACTCTAGTTCCGAATTTTACCGCAAAAAAATTCAAAAGAAGGCCTTTTCCAGAGACGAGGTAGTGCAACGTTAGTAAACAATTTGCGGAAGGCTACTGTAGTATGCCACCTACAATACTCAGCATCGTGTCGGCTCACCTATTCCGTGAACGATGGCACATGCGATGCGCCAAATGCGATTATCTTTGTCAGTAGCGGCGATGTTTGAATTGCCGCGTGCAGCTTTGCGACTCCAAAAATAGCCGTCATTGTCACTACAAAGAACCATCGTTTTCACCGGTAAAGCTCTTCGGTCTAATATTTTAACAGCCACGTAATGTATTCTATAGAATGCGAAGCGACAGACCCAACGCGAAGGTAAATAGTGCTCAAGGCCGCGCCTGTCAAATGTCAGTGCAGATGCCAAGGACGCCGCCACCGTAAATACTTAGCGCAGAAATTAATATAGCGAGTGAGAAAACTACATGTACGGCATATAGTCATAGACGCGCGCGGTACACACGGTGTTCACGTGTCTCTCTAACAGGTCGAGATTCCCACCCCATCATCGTCGGGATACTGAAGTTGGGGATACGTTGGCCGAAATACAATAAATAGTTATATATATATATATATATATATATATATATTATATATCTTTCGCCTAAACTGTCATCGATTTTACGCGACTTTTCGCTTCAGAACGTGTGATATTTTAGACTCATGCAGTCATTATATTGTTCCTGACAACGCCCGCTTCCCCTTCTCCAGTTTTTTCATCCAAGTAAGCAATTCGTTCGAAAGCGCTCTCAAAGTCAACATGCAAAACAACGCGAGGCAGTCGTTATTCATCGGTTAAATCGTTATTAACAATGTTGTTAAAACGATATTTTGTGAGCAATGTAATTAACGTGTTTCTTCCTCTGTCGATGCCGAGTGGATCCCTAAGACGGACGCATCGTGAGTAGCTGAGCATCCGTCGGTTACATTCGCAAGAGCATGCCGTGCTAGACTATATCCAGCCTGTTCTGCTAGCATCTATGACAAATACGACATACACATATACGCTCTCCTATGACACTATTTGTCATAGGAAGATTCTTCCTATGACAAATATTGTTGTATGTGTTATGCGCATCACAGGAGTTTAGAAGCGCTATTATGAACGCAAGCAGTGAATTTCAGCTGTAAAGCGGAACGAAGTTGACTCGCCAATATTTGTCATAGGAAGAATCTTCCTATGACAAATAGTGTCATAGGAGAGCGTATATTATGCGTATGTCGTATTTGCCATAGATGCAAGCAGAACATGTTGCAGCATCACCGCAATGAGCAGTCGTAAGTTTTCTTAGCGTATATGTCCTGCATGGCGCTAATCTCGCGTAAGTTGTCGTCCGTCGACGTTTGGCAAGCTGCCACCCCCTCCATGCTTAACACACGAGATGAGTGATCCCCACCACGCCCCCTACTTAGCCCAGGCGGCCCGATGGACTAAGGTCACAAACGTGCAGCATTGTTATTTTAACGGTAGTGCGGTTTTTCGTAGAGGAGGAGGAGGAGGAGGAGGAGGAGGAGGAG